AAGCCAATAACTGATCCCTCAAACCCTGCAATGTGGACTTTCCTGTCCAATTACAAAACATCACCCAAACCCTGAAGAAGAAGGAAGAAGGTAAAGAAGAACAACCAGCCTCCACCCTAAAACCTCCATCTCACTTCATATTTATTTCTATATTCTAAAACCCCAAACTTTAAGTTTTGTACCCTGTGCTATTACACACTTCTCACCAACTCCACACCAGTACTGCCAATTAATTTTGGAAGCCTGTTCCACAGCCTCAGGTCAAATGCAGCGTTCTCTTGTAAGCACAGAAAGTTGAAAATTCTCAGCATCCAAGATTCCAACTGCTGCCTGCTTCTTTTCCATCCTAGTGACTTCTGTGAAGACTGGACCGAAGCCCAGCGCATCGCTGCCTCCCTGCTGGACAGCAAATCCTACGAGACCCTGGTGGATTTCGATAATCACCTGGACGACATCCGCAACGACTGGACAAACCCCGAGATCAACAAAGCTGTGCTGCACCTGTGCTAGGAGGGATCCTCCTGACGAATCCATGGGCATTCCCACTCTGTACTGAAGAGAGAAAAAAATGCTATTTTTGAATGTAAATAGAATTCATATTCAGTACCTTGTGTGGAAAGCTGACTGGTTAAAGAGGAGGGGCGTGTCCGTGGCGCGGTGCTGTGTCCGTAACGCCACGGGATGATGGTGGTGGTGGCATTCCCTGGAAGAGCTGCCAGCTGTCACTCCCAGCTGTCCTCGTGGACACCATCCCACTTGTAGTGAATGTTGCTATTCCTTGGAAACCAGAACTGCTTCTGCTTGGCCCCCACTGTTCCTATTCCAAAGTTTTGACTTCAGCTTTTCTAATCTTTAGAGAGGTTACTTTTTAATGATTTCTGGAAATACCTTTCCAAAAAAAAAAAATAATCAATCCTGTCCTCAGGTGAGAGATGTTAAGGGCAAATAGATCAAGTGGGAGGTGGTTTCTTCTGGCCTGGGTTGGAATTGTAACTCTCTTGGCACAGTAAAATGCAAACTGCTGAGGATGTTCCATGCTCATGTGTCACCTGTTTTGCAGTGCTTTAGCATGACAGAGAGTTTTAAAGCAGTATTCCCAAATAATCTGGTGTTTCCTGCTCTCCATGGGCTTGGCAAGCACAGTTACTGCTTGAATGTGTTAAACCCAAAGTAAATGATTTATGAAAAGGACTGGAAGCACACTGCTGAGTTTGAATCTGCAGTTGGAGTCTGCAGTAATGAAATACTTTATTAATTTTGTGCATTTGTGGGGGGAGTTAATCAGCAGATCTCATTTTCCACATGATCCAAGTACATGGAATCAGGGAGCCTGGGTACAGCCTTGTTCAGCTTGCCTTGTCTTTCCCATTAATATTCATTTCCAAGGAGAAGTCTCCTGGCCAATGCAGCTTTATACCAGCCTAGAAAAGCTCTTTGTTGCCTATCTCCTAACTGTAGTTAAACACAGCCTCAACCTGCAACAATTCCTCCAGATTTCCTTCCCTTCCTGCCCAGAAACGTTGTTGCAAGGGAGATAAAATGTCTGCCTGTCTCCAATCTTAGTGTTAAAATCACAGCAGAGTTTGGCTTGGAAGGGGCTCGAAGATCATCTCATTCCATGGGCAGGGACACCTTCCCCATGAACAGGTGCTCCAAGCCCCATCCAACCTGGGCTTATTTCAAAATGGAATTAATTGTCTGAACCTCACAATTTTAAGTCAATAAGTCCAAGTTTTCCTCCTGTTTTTTGAGAGGGATGGGGAAAGCTAAAATCCCATTTGCAGCAGGGAGTAGACCCTGGATGCCCCCAGGCTGTGGAGTTCCCTCCAGGTGAGATGATTCCACAGGGCCATGGGGCGAGTTGGAGGGAGGAGAGGAAGCTTTGGGCACTTTGGTTTTTATCTCCCTGCTGTGCAGGCTGAGGTGTGATCACCAAAGAGCTTGGCACCGAGTCAAGAACCTTCCCTAGGCTGAGTCAGGCTTGCAGAGAGGGAAATGTTTTCACTTGTTGACTGAAAACAAGTATTTAGTTCCCCAAACCAGTGAGATAACACATTCCAGTGGCTGCTCCACTCCATATCTGTAGAAAAAGATTTCCCTGGAGCAGAATGCAAAGCACCCAGGCTGCAGGAAGAGGACTTTGTACAAACAGCCAGCGAAATCCAAGGTATTGTTCCAGAGGCCGATCCTTATCTTAGGCAGATTCCTCGTGTGGGGTTGTCAGAAGGAGCTGCTGGGTCTCCTGAGCCCCAGGAAATGTGTTTCTTGTTCTTTGTAACAGCATCTCCTAATCAGGCTTTGATCATAAATATGCAAATTCAGGCTAATCCTGCTCCCCTGTTAGGCAGTTTTTCTCCTCAGTGTGTAACCTGCTGGAATATTCCCTGTGACTAACCTGGGACACACTGCTGGAAGGGGAGCAGCTTTCAGTGCTTTGTCTTCCCCTTCTTTTAATCTTCTCTTTGCTTTCAAACGAGGATTTTTTGCCACCAGCAGAAGCCCAGGCTGGCTTTAAGCAAAGAGGACAAACCTGCAGATCTTATCTCCCCTGGCCTATTTGCATTGAAGGCTGGACAAAAGCAGCAATTCCATAAATCCAGGCAGCCACCGTGGCTCTCCTGGAAGAATGAGGAAGCTGCAGGGCTCAGGGAAGGCTGTGTTCCCTCTCCTGCTGATGTGCCCAGGGCAAATGCTGCTTTCCTGGCTGGGGGATCCTCTGCATTCAGGGCAGGAATTCAAGGTAATTCCTTTTAAAACTTCAGGGGGAGGAAATCATGGGGAAGGCATCTCTTGCTGAGAGTGGGAAGGCAGCACTGGGAATGTGTGTCCTACTCTTTTTTGGTTTGTTGGCAATTAATGACTTTCAGGATTAACTTTTTTTCTCCCTATCCACCAAAATTTGGAGATTTGGAGATTTGACATTTGCCTGCCCAGATGTTTTAACTCACAACTTTTTACCTCATCCACACGACCTGAAGTGCTTGGAAAAAAGAATCCCTGAATAGTTTGGGTGGGAAAAGATCTTAAAATCATCTCATTCCATCCACTGCCATGGGCAGGGTCACCTTCCACTGTCCCAGGTTGTTCCAAGCCCTGGAGTGGAAAACTGGCTTTGGACAATTCCAGGGATCCAGGGGCAGCCACAGCTGCTCTGGGTACCTGTGCCAGGGTCTCCCCACCCTCATGGGGGTGAATTCCTTCCCAAAATCCCATCTAAATCCACTCCTGGCATTCCCTGTGTCCTGTCCCTCCATCCCTTATCCCTCTCCAGCTCTCCTGGAGCCCCTTTAGGCCCTGCAAGGGCTCTGAGCTCTCCCTGGAGCCTTCTCTTCCCCATGAGAGCACCCCCAGCTCTCCCAGCCTGTGGGATTCTCTTTTCCCCACTCAGCCCAATTTTCCAGAGCAGTGACAAACATCCCCACAGGCAGACGGGTGACAGGCGCCACAGAATCCCTGAGCAGCTGCTCTGGGACACTCACAAGTGAGGTCCCTGCTCCCAGGGAATGCTCCCTGCTCCCGTTTTCCCTGAGCTCATCACTCTGTGTGTCCATACAAGGATTTGGGGAAATTTTTCCCCCTCCAGCAAGCAAAGCAGCCTGCTGCTGGCATTTCCCCTCTCCCCATCTGCTCCTGGGATGTTCCCTCCCCGAGGAAAGCCAGCAGAGATGTAACAGCTCCAGCTCTTGGATACAGGAGCAGGTGAGCGGTTCAGAGATCACCTGGCACAGCTGGATCCAGCAGCAGACAGATGTGCAGAGCCCACCCCAGCCGTGAGGAGCAGCCCCCTGCCCCCAGGAATTCCTGCAGCGAGTGGCAGGCGAGGAGAGGTGACGGTGACAGATGCAGGAGCAGTGCCCGGGCTCTGCTCCCTGGCTCCCGGCCTAATCGCTGCACTCCGGGCTGGAGATGCCGGAGGAGGAGGAGGAGGAGGAGGAGGGCACTGCCAGGGAGAGCCGCGATGATGCTAATGGAGGAGGCTGTTAGCGGGGTGGGCTTGCGGCTGAGTGCAGCCTGGAAAATGGCCTCGAGGGGAAAAGTGCTCGGTCTGCGAGCTCTGCTGCTCGTTCGGGTGGAATTCAGCTCCTGGAGCCGGGCTGGGGTCCCTGTGGGGCTGCTCCCCTCCCATCCCGCCCAGGCTCTGCTATTCCCAGCTGGACTTGGGCCCCTCCACACATCCCAGCCGTGCAGCACAGCCCCCTGAGCCCTGAGCCAGCCCTCCCGCAGCCGGCAGCGCTCTCTGTGTGCCCAAGGAGCCGCTGAGGGCTTTATCGATTTCCCTCTTTTATTTTTTTCCCTGTCGCTTTTAGACCACATTTTCACCCAGCCTTCTCCTTCGAAAGTGCACCCCAGCTGCATCCCTTGCTCAGCTGCATCCCTCCCTCAGCTGCATCCCTTCCTCTCGGTTTCCAGAGCAGAGGACGGACACGGGGACACAGCTGGCAGGGGGGACAGCGCTCCTGCCTGTGGCACTTCCATCCTGCCGGAGCTGGGATGAGGGAATCAGGGAATTCTGCCCTTAGGAACACCCGGTAGGTGCCCTGGGGGTGAGGGCTCACTCCAGAGTGTTCCAGGCAGGGCTGCTGGGCTGCAGCTCCAGCGGGATGCGGGCAGGACCCGTGCCAGGCACAGCTCTGCGCACGGCCGGGCCAGGCAGAACGCCGCCGCCCTTCCTAGAAATGCACCCTGGAGCTTAAGACATGGACCTAATTGAAAAACTCTATCGAGGTTGTAGCAGCAGGGGATAAAAGGGAAAGCTGGGCCCAGATTAACCTGAAGCTCAGCGAGCCGGGAAGCGCGGCAGCCGTGGCCAGGTCCCTAAGCCAATTCCCAGCGTGGCCTGTTCCCGGCTGGATCCATGCTGGGGGAGAGGTGCTTTGTCCTGGATGCAGGAGCTCTGTGCCTCAGGTATGTCCTCGCTCCCCCTTCCCTCCTGACCCCCTCTCCTGCCCCATCCTGCTGGATTTTCTCCGGGGGTTTTTCCAGCCCACGCGGTTCCTGCTGCTGCCTCGCTCTGCTGGTCCTGCCAAGAGCCCGTGCTTGGGGAGAGCTGGAGCTGCTCCAGTTCCCCCAGAGCCTGCATCTTCAGCTGCCTCCTCGTGACATCCTCCTCCTCCCTCCTTCCCTCCCTCCCTCCCCATGCCTGACATCCCCTCCGGGTGCTGCTCGCCAGCCCTGGTCACTCTGGATCTCCGGGAGGGAATTTCTTCTCCACTCCCAGCACTGGTTGCCACTTCCAGCTCTGGCAAGGACCTTTCAGGAGCCCCTTTCTGGGGCAGCCCCAGAGCCAGGCTGGGAGCAGCCCTTTCTCTCCCAGAAGGGCCGGGGGCAGGAGGGGACAGGTGGCCTCGCTGCTCCGTTAGCACGGGGGTGACGTGTCACCTGCGTTAGCACACCCTGCCTCACACTCTGTGACCCAGAAAGCTGCTTCCTCCCCCTCCCTGCTGGAAGGGGAGCCCAGCTGGTGTTTGCAGAGCAGCTCCTGAAGGCAGCCAGCAGCTCCGGGCTCTCCAGCCAAAGCTTTTCTTGTGGCCAGCGCTTGCACAAGGCGTCCCTTGTCCCTGCGGTTCCGCTGGCGCCTGGGAAGCAGCAGCAGCTCTCCCTGCCCTTCCTTCCCCCAGAGGGGATTGGGGAGGCTGCCCTCCATCCTCACCCCCCAGAGGGGATTTGGGAGGCTGCCCTCCATCCTCACCCCCCAGAGGGGATTTGGGAGGCTGCTCTCCATCCTCACCCCCCAGCAGGGCTTCAGCCCCCGGGCCAGGAGGGAGCAGGAGGGGAGAGGAGCAGCCCAGTACCAAAGGGACACAGGCAGGAATGGAAAGCAGCCAGTGAGCATCTCAGGGAACAGCCAGGCTCTGGCCAGCTCTGCAAGGACAATCTTCCCTCCATACCCAGCCATCCCCTGAGCCCATCCTCTTCCTCTCCTGGCCAGCTGGCTCCTGGTGGGCTTTGGCCCCTTGCCCTGACGTGATGCTCAGCAGGTCACAGCTCAGAGCCTTGTGACAGGAACCAGGAGCTCCCGGAAGGGAGGTGTTGAGCCCACTGGCACTCAGCTCTCCCTAACCCTGCTCACCCAGCAGCCACCAGGACCCCACACCGGAGAGGCTCCAGGCCATTCCCAGTGAACAACCCCCACTTTATAAACCTTCACAAAGGTTTTTTGCTTTGTTCACCAGCCCTGGGGAGGGCAGGAAGGGGTGTTTGACGCTGTGTTTGTTCCTATCAGGTGTCAGCAGAGCAGCTGGAGCTGTGCTGCGCCCGCAGAGCTAACCACAGGTATTTTAGCAGCCTGGTGTTTGTTTCCCATCCCTGCTGCAGCAAGACAATCACTTTTTGTCACTGTTGTAGCAACAACTGCTGCTCCAGGCCAGGCTAATTCCAGCCCTCGTGGGTTTGGGGCTGTTTGCTCTCACCCAGCAGCAGCAAACAGGTTGTTTTGGGGACAGGCAGTAAAACAGATCAAGGTGGAGGCAGGATTTGTGCTGCTCTGACTGGATTTGTGCTGTCTGGGAGTGATCCCTGGCTTCATGGGATGCTGCCTGCTCTGAGTTTGGGATGGGATCTTGAAAGATTAAGTTTACCGGGCTCTGCTTCAGGATTTGTCTCTAAATCTTAGATTTTGCAGGTGAACAGGTGAAAAAACCCACATAAACTGATTAATTGTCAGTTTTCTGGAGGGAAAAAAAGGGAGCTGTAGGTTGCAAATGTCTTTGCCCAGGACTATGCCCACAGCTGGAGCTGCAGCCTTGCCCTGTGCCACCCTCCCCTCTCCTGGAGCTCTGCAATAACAGTTATTTGACAAATCAGAGGAGTCAGATCGGGAAGGAAATCAGCTCTCCCCAGGTTTCTGACTTTCATCCGACATGGCAGGACCAAACCAGCAGAAAGTGGAGCAAACCCACCCCTTTGCTGCCCTTCACCCCCATCCCAGCCGGGCTTGGTGGGGCTCTGATCCCTCAGGATCCCTCCCAAACCCTGGGATCGGCTCTTTCCTGATCCCGGGGTGAAGTTCCAAGCTCCTTTTCCTTCCTTTCCCTTCCACCTTCCTGCCTTCCTCAGCCAGGGGTGTTTAATGTGCGGCCGGCGTGCCCTGCATTGGAACCACTGAAAAGGAGACTGAAAAGGAGCCTGAAAATGAGCCTGGAAGGCTCGGGGCCTGTTAATTGAGGAGGAGGGGGAGCATGGAAAAGCCTCTGGCTGCTGCTGCTGCAGGGGAAGGGGCTGCTCTGGAGGCACAGCCTTGCCCTGGGTGGGACCCGACCTGGAGCGCTCATCCCAGGAATGGTGAGGAGCCCTTCCCGTGCCAGGCTGGCTTTGGGGCTTTGGGGCTGGGAAAGGGAAAAGAGCCTTCCTGGAAGGTGGAGAAGGTGGAGCTGCTCCCAGAGTTGGTGGCTGGTGACATCAGGACCTCAAGGATGCTGATGTCCTTGGATGTGGGCACTCACGGCCCTTTTGGGGCACTTGGTGGCCCTCA